ATATGGTTAAAATGTGATATGGCTTTCAAGTTTCAACGACCACTCACTCCACCGCAAAATGAACGAAGGAAATGAATATCTAGTACAACCTAAATATTATTTTGTGACAACGGTGATGCCTGGTTCCTTTTACCCATACCACCCACGTGTCGATTATTCATTGATTGAGTTCTTAGCGAATAAGGACTAACTTACAAGTGAGGGCATCTAGAAAATATCAACGTCAACGAGCCGCGCAAAACCTCTAAATAATTGTATCACTTTTCCTGAATTACCCTCCGCGAAGTTGGGGCTGATATTCAGATTCTAGAAGTTTCCGCCAAGTATATGTTCGGATCCAACATCTAAGAGTGCAGCGGGTTCATATTCACTTTGAGTTTTCTTATTGTACTAGCAAGTTTTTGGATAAAGTTCTCTCAATGTTTTTATTAAAAAAATAAAAAAAGTTCTCTCAATAATTGGTACCAAAATCTTTTATTATGTCTCTCATTTTCAATTACAAAGTAAAGTATGAGACTTGAGTCCCATGCCAAAATCGTCGTTGTTAAAAACGAATAAAAAAGCTGCGTAAAAATGATACAAGTGCAAGTTTTTACTTTAAATAAAAAAATTGAAACTTAAACGGATAAAAAAGCCGCATAAAAATAAGAGTTTTATAATAGTTATGTGGTAAGAAAAGTGACTGTGTAATGTTATAGAGATTTGTTTTGCGTGTGTTGATTTTTTTTTGCTTCAAAAAGTGCAAGTCCCACAAAATGTTGTATGTGTAGGAAACTTTTTGGTGTCATGTGACGTGATAGATACAAATTCCTAAAAATAAAATAAAAAACACTAATTTTTATGTTTTTACTTAAATTAAGGTTAACTTTTAACCCATTACTCAATTTTATTTAATTTTTTTTAAAAAATCTCTATTTTTCATTTTCCCCAAAATTAGAATGCACAACAACTTTGACTTTCTTCTTTTAGCTATTTAAATCAAATCAAACTTTTCATTGATGTCGCATCCACCGCATCTTTTGGTGCCTCATATCTTCTACCTCTTACAACGCCCGTGACGCGACCACAAAACCCTTTTAATCAGCAATAAGGATGTGTTTGGTACAGGAGAAATTTTTTGGTGTCCGGGAATCATGATTAATAAGAATTCAGTAAAAATTGAGTTTACTTGGAATCTTACGAAAGATGTGTTTGGTTCACCAAAATATTACCGGGAATATTGGGTAAAAATTATTGATTCCATATTTGGTTTAGAACGAAATATGACTTGGAATATGAGGTTATTTTACAAAAATAACCCCAAACTATTTTTACTTTTGTAATTGATAGATTGGGTCTAGATTTTTATGTGTATTGGAGTATTTTTGTCTCAAAATTTATTGTTGTGCTTTTCCTTTACTTGGTATTCTGATTGGTATTCCGAATTACCATATTATTTTTGGTAATCTGAATAGTGACTTTTCTTTATAAATCAAATTACCGGTAATCCTTGGATATCCGGGAATCGTAATTTATTCCTTCTACCAAACGTGGTAATTACATTTACTAAAAAAGGATTACCGGTAATCCTCTCCAAAAACTTGAACCAAACACTCGGTAATAGTAATGGTAAGTGTGTGTCTCCGTTATTTTGCTTATTTTATGTTTTGGAACTTAATTTTTGGAGTTGTTAAACTTTTTTATATGTTTGAACTTATTTCTTATATAGTTATATGATTTATATATTTTAAATATGAAGTTGTTCATTAAATTTTAAGTAATGAGTAATGTGATTTTATTTCTTAACATTCTTCCTTGTTCATTGAGTTGAATGTGAGTCTGGTTTTCACTCACTACCGTGGATTCATGTACCACCAGGGGCGTACGGAAGTTGGATCTTGGCATACGTGACCTGCTTGTCGTCGTTCTAAACATTGAGGTCACACTTGTTGGCATTGTCAGTGGCGAGCAATGTTGTTGGTGCCATAGCTATTCATTGCAAGAAAAATCATTTTCTGGTAGAATCCGGTAGGATCGATTTGTTTGCGATTCCACAATTCCTGCGCTTTGGTTTAAAAATCTCAAAATACCCAAATTTTAAAACCAATAACCCATAACCAGAAAATACTCATCACCCAAAAACACTTATGACCCAAAAAATCAAAAACCCTAAGTCAGAAAGTCCTTAAACGACTATCTCCTCCTCACCCACTTGGACAAAACAACCTTCTTGCGAGGGATGCTCCTCATCGTCGTCACCTTCTTGTGCGCGACGGGCGATTGCGAGTCTGCCACTGACGAAGGTGACTATGTCTGGATGGTGGATCTTCTACCATCTCCCTGTGCAAAACAATCTTCATTCCTCTGGCTCTCGTTGGTGTTTATGGAAGATATTTGATGTCTTTGTATCTCCGTTAAAGTGATCATAACAATGGAATTTTTTTGGACGAAAAGAATATTTTATTTTTTTAATCCTTCTGTTTGTAAGGCATTTTGTGTTGGTATTCTCATATTCTGCCAACTGTGTTTGAAACTTTTTTTTGTTAAGCAAGTCTCCCATTTTTTTTTATTTTTAATGCTTGTGTTTGAAACGTTCAAATTTTAAAGTATTATGGTTCAGTTTTTTTTATGGGTTTTATAAGAGTTATGTTGTAGGAAAAGTGATTGTGTTATGTTATAGAGATTCGTTTTGCGTGTCGAAGTTTTTTTATTTATTTTTTGCTACGGGCTCCACAAAATATTGTGTGTGTAGAAAACTTCTTGTGGTCATGTTAAATGATAGATGATAAACCCTTTTTTTATACCTGATCAGTTTTTTTTTAACTTAAGCTATATAGTAGGAGACATGAGTTGTGATTTTAGTAAATAGAAAATATTAGGAATTAGAATTGTGATTGAAATTTTCAAATTTTAAAGCATTACCACCAACACTATCATTATACCCTGGAAAGCACAGACACGCAAATTTTGTGTCGGACCCGTGTCCGACACGCGTCCGATAAGCGGTCAACATTTGAGGACACGTGGTTAATTTTCTGACACGTTTTTCCGACACGTAGTCAACTTTTTCCGACTCGCGGTAACGCTCGGACACGTTTTCGGACACGCTCAGACACGTTTTTTTTTTTAATCTTAATTTTATTTTGTTAAATAAATATAAAAGAAATAATTTATAAATTAATTTTTTTCTATTATGAAATTTGACACGAAAAATTATTTATATTTATATTTATGTTAAAATTTAAATATTTGATTGGTTATATGACTTATTACGGACTCTTATATGTATTAAATATAAATTATATTATATATATTAAGAATTTTATTTAATATCAAAACGTGTCCCAACATGTCAAAATATGACATTTTTTAAAATTAATGTGTCGTGTCCCGTGTCCGTGCATCATATAGATTATACCCACCAAGCCAAAGAAAAGGAAAGCTACATTATCGCTCAAGAGGAACGTGTGTGTGAAAAAAATTAGTTTACTATTCCCACTTTATATATTTTAATATTTTTTTGGCACTGTCTTATTTTTATTCCTGGCTCCGTCACCGTGTGAGCCAAATGAGAGTGTTGAGAAATTGATTTTATCCTTTTATCTTTGTTCCATCCAAAGAGAATGACAAAATGTTCCAACCAATGATTCTTTCATATCAATACTTATATGGTTTCACTGTTTGAGTTTCGTGTATGTTTTCACTATTGATGGAGTTCATATACTATCCTAAGGTTCTTTACATGGTATCATAGCCTCGTCGCTCCGCACTTTCTCTTTTGGCGTTTCTTAGCACAGGTAGGCTGGGCCTGTTGCATTGTCCACTCTTCAAGCCTAATGGGCTCTCGTGTGAGGGGGCGTGTTGAGATATATAGTCCAACATTGGTTGTATGTGCAACTAATGTGGAGTTTATAAGGCTTTGAGCACTCCCACCCTTTGAGCTAGCTTTTAGGGTGGTGTATCCCAAAGATCTTTACATAGTTCATATACCTGATTAGAGAAGTTGATAGTTCCTGCATGTAAAGTGTTTGATAGAAATGTCGTTTCCATGAAGAGATGAAGATTTTGGACATAATATTATTTTCTTTTTTGTTAGTGTTTGCTTATTGATTATTCATTAAAGTAGACGTCGGTAAAATAACATGAGTTACCCGAGCATATTGTACTTAGGTAACTAATATTTTAAAAATTCAGATCACGACCAATATTGGGGTATATATTTTGGGTGTTAGAGACGAAAAATATTTGAATAGATGATTAGGTCAACGGTCAAACAAAAACATATAAGTGATATGTTTTAGTACGAAGGTAAAATAATGAGTTTTAATTAAATCAAAAAAGCCCGGAACTTCAAAAAAGGTAATATTTATTAGGTTAAGTATTTGTCATTTTAAATGACATAATTTTGTGTCATTCTAAATAAAATTACGTCATTTTGGTATTTTTGAATTTTTTATATTTTCCCTTTTTTATAGAATTATAAAAAAAAATGGATGAGTGAGAATGCAAATATATACCAAAGCGAGATGATATAATTTTATTAAAAATGATAAATACTTTTTCCATATTTATTTTACCTTTGAATGTTGTACATAATTTACTTTTGGATTTGATGTTTGTCATTTTAAACAATATAAATTATGTTATTTTAGGAAAAAATGAAAAATCATGAGAAAGAAAGTGAATTATTATTTTTTAATTTAAATTTTAAATAAAAAATATTATTTTATGTCTATCTCTTTCTTAAAATGATATAACTTTATGTTATTTAAAATGAAAAATATTCCTCCCTTTAATTTTATTGTGATTTAAAAAAAATGGTGAGAATTAGAGGATAAGGATAGTTCGGTAAACGCAACTTTTCTTGTAGAAAGGAAAGGGCAACGGAGAGAATTTGAAGAGGGCGAATTCGTAATTTGGAAAAAAGAAGAAAAACAAGGTATTTTTGCCGCATAAGATTATTCACTTATTGCCGTCACAACATGTTCCTATAAATATATGCCGTCAAAGCCGCTCCGAAGTCTAGCATCGCAAATTGCAAACTTCAAAACTCTCTCTCTCTCTCTCTCTCTGTCTTTCTCTCTCTATATCTACGCCACAAATTCTATATTCTAGACTCACCCCACACTCTTGGAATCTCAAACATGAAGAAATCCGGCATCCTCGCCGCCTCCTTCGCCGCCGCGTCCGCCGCCGCAGTCTCCGTTACGTCCTCTGCACACACCTCTCATCAGGTACCCGCTTCTGTACCCCTCCAAGATTTCCTTTTTCGCTGGGCATTGTTTTGATTCTGTTATCAAAACGTGGGGATCTGAGAATCGCCCTAAAGTTTTGATTTTGTTATTGTTGTTGTGTGGAATTTGGGTTTTGCAGGACGTTACGGCTGAGGGGAGAGGCCGTGAGAGTTCTTCATCGGCGAGTTCATCTTCTTCGGAAAAATTCGCGCCGAGATTTGATGGGTTGCGATTCATTGAAACGCTGATTACTGCCCATAGATGAAAGATTTTTTTTTTTTTTTGGCCTTGTGCTGTTTAGAGAAGACTTCGTCTATGGGAAATATTTCAACTTTTTTTTTTTTCTATTGGGGTTATTGGGAGAAATAGAGAGAAAAACAAATTGTGATATTACGGGATTATATTGTACTTTTTCTTTTTCTTGATCTCATTCAGGAAATAAAAAATTAAAGGTTTTTGGGTTTGTGCTGATATTTGTGTCTATCATTTTAACCAATCCTTTCCTTACTTCCTTGGGAGGAAGCAAGTTGGAAGTAGTTTGTTTGGGATTGTTTTAACTTTTATTGTTAATAATGTGGTGACCACTTGTTGGCCCAAAGAGAGTACTTATTTTTAGTAGTTCTTTATCTCTTAAAAAAGTAGTTGACTCTTTGAGAATTAGTTTTATATAGTAACCTTGCTTTCAATTAGAAAAAATATGGAGAAAAAATTGAAGAAAAAGAATTAAATTAGATATAAAAATTAAGTTTTTGTTTGTTTGTTTGTTTAAGTTCATATTTTGGGTTTTGTTGAAGTGATCGACAGAATATGATTTAGTTTGAAAAACAACGCATCTGAGATGCTTTTGTATACGTGTGAGTGTGATTAATTGAATTGGTCGATGTTATTGGACTTTTCCAGGTAATGAAACAATTTGTTTGATTTTGTTATGCTTTTTTTTTTTTTTTTTTTTCTATTTTGTAAAATAGTTATGGAAAGAATTATTTTTTATATTTTTTAATTTTTGAAAGTTAAAAACTAAAACAGAAAATAAAAATAACTCAGACATTTTCTTTAAATTTGATTTTAAGAACAAAAATATAATTATAATTTTTAAAATATTTTTTACAAAATAAACTTTATTAAACAAGTTCTTTTTGTTTTTTGTTTTAAAAACTAAAAAATTGTTTTTAAAAACAACAATCAAATAGAGTTAATATTGCTTTTGCAATAAATTCTGGGATAAGCAGCCACTATCTTTTGATGTGATGGCTGCAAGATATTGTCCTCCGTGGCGTATATGGAATATTCTTTCCGAATATTGTTCTGCAACTTGTGAATATCTGTTATATAAAGTTTTTCATTTCAGATTTTTTACCTTTTTTCTTCACTTGCTCGAAAAGCCAAACTTAGTGCGAACATATTCTTGCCTCTTTCATCAAAGATTCAATTCTCAAGATAAATAATTCAGCACTAATTCATTTGGTGGATGATAAGAACCCAAGACTAGTTCCTTTTCTGGTCAAGCACTTTCTTCCAACATCAACTTTCAAAATGCGAATTCTCCACTAGCGAAAAGCATAATTGAATCCCGGAACAAGCAGAGAAATACACTTTTACACCATTAGTCTTTAGTTTGTCATTGGTTTAGAATTTGCAAAACTTGATTTTAATTTTTTGCTAAATTAATTTTAATTACAAGTGGAATTGATTTCTGTTTGAAAGTATATATTTGAAAAATAATTTTAACATAATCAATTAATATTATGTACATAGTACTAATAAAAAATGTTTTTGGATACATAATTACGAAGAGAACATGCTAAAATTAAATTAACGCTAAAAATTTAATTATACACAACATTAATTTTACTCACTGCTAAAGCAATAAAATGTTACTTTCACGTTTAGAGAACTAGAATCAAGTTTAAAGCCAAATGCATTTTTTCTTCAAATGATGTAAGAGACATTAACACTATGCTTGAGACATGATTTGTGAGTTTGGGTAAAGAGTAAGACAACACGAAACCAAACTCTGCATTAGACCAAGTACGCAATTTGATCTTATCTCACGCACTATGGGTTCGTATCCCCACAAACACATGATGCGTGAAAGCCACGAAAAATTGATATTTCGAACTTTTGAAGGGCAATACTTTTCAGTGCCTTTCGGTTACGAAGTTTCCTGAATCCCATCCATAATTTTTTTTATTGGATTGATGTTTTATGATATAAAAGATTATTTTATTTCTTACACATATATAAAAATACGTGGGACTTAAATAGAGTCATGTGAAGAGAAAAGAGAAAAAAAAATATTTATCTCATAATTTCTTTTTGTATGCAAAAAATAAAATTATTTCTTCCAACGTAAAAAAAAAAAAGGTTAATCCTTCATATAATTAAACAAGCAAATAAGGGAATGAAATGTCCCAATTGTACACTCAACAAAAAGGCCGAGATCACACAAAAATAGCATGGCATGTGAAACTTCCTTTCAAAATGAAACAAGCTAGTATGTTAAAAAGTTTGGACATAGTAATAACTGGAAGACAATTTTTTTTTAAACTTTTGTACCTTTTATTTGAGTTTATTTACAACCAACTCTAATTAATTTGGGATAAAGATAGTGTTGATGTTGATATATATTGATATACTCCATAGTCTAGAAGTTGGATCCTTAGAACTTTTCTTTTTTTCAAAAAAAAAGAAGGAATTTTAGAGCCAAGTTGTTAGTCATATACAAATGGAAGTACACAGGCTGCAATCATATGTCAGAAACCCAAAAGTTAGATTATGGCAAGCCTTAACTTATCAGTGATCACCATGATCCCCCACTCATCTGTACCTCTCAACAATTTGTTTCTTGTTTTACTTTATAACTACTTTATTTTCTGAGCTTTAGTCAATCATTGAATTATTCGTACTTACAACTTTCTTCGTCCATACCTATCGTATGGGAGGAGATTTAATATGGTGTTTTGGTCATATTGGAAGAAGATAAACATAAGAGTGAGATCAATACTTAACACCGATAAAATTTTGAAGTGCCAACCCCACTCTTCTTTTAATTTGCAAAATGGAGTCCTTCCCTTCTTTACACTGATTAGCAAATAGGGCAGGGAGGTATTTTCCATAGATATTTATGTAGTTCAGTTTGTCAAGCCGTTAATCCTCACATAGTACACCTTAAGGTGATGAAGAAGACAATCGGAACACTCACTAAAATGCCACTGTTCACCAACTTTTTTACCTAAATGTCACGCGAACAGTGTTGTTTTCCAATATGCCACAAAAGCAAGTTCGCTACCCTGTGTAGCGAACTCGATTTGTTGACGTGTCATATTTTTAATGGATAACAAGTATCAAATTTTAAAAAATAATAATAAAAAAAATGAAGGTCGCCTACCATGTAGGCGAACTTGGTTAAAATCAAGTTGGTATCCATTAGAAACGTGACACGTCAGCAAACCGAGTTCGCTACACCGGATAGCGAACTTGCTCCCGTGGCATATTGAAAAATAGCACTGTTCGCGTGGCATTTAGGTAAAAAAGTTGGTGAACAGTGACATTTTGGTCACTGTTCCAAGACAATCGGGAAAAAAAAATGAAATTAGAGAGCAAAATTGTTAAGTGACAAAAGATGAAAATCCTTGAATGGTTTTTTCCAAGACCGGATGCACTCCAATATTCCATCGTTCACTAAAATTACGTTAGAAGTACACTTCTATCCAAATGTTGTAAATGGAAGGAATATTTTATAAATCACTCTTTGAACTGAAATTTAAGGCTTTAAAAACCTTTATCAAACATTTATATGAAGAGGCTGGAAAATTCTTGTCTACATAACCACAGCCACCATTTCTCATTGAGCCTATATGTACAGGGTTGAGAATTCCCTCACTTCAAAAACTGCAAGAGGCTTACTGTATTAGTTTGTCAGAACAAACTTGGTTAGATCTCTAACAGATGGTATGCCTCACTTTTCGTGTTATGGACCTTCCCATGCGAAGACGTCGGCTTGTCAGAGCTTCTAATAGGACTGTCAAAGCATGTTCTACTGCTTCTGCCTGATTATCCAACCCAAAGGAGTTAAACAGTGGAAGAAGTTGAAGCTCTGAGAGCAGACCAGCAGCTGCTGCTGCTGTACATGTACGATCCCAAGATGGTTGGGGCCTGCCCTTGAAATACCATACAATACACATAGATTACATTAAACACAGCAGAAAGTCTAGAGCAAAGATAGGAGAGCAAGAAGGGAAAAAGCTGCTGCAGATATACTGAAACATAGGTGTCAGTTAATCTTAATTTTACTTTCTCACTCACCTAAGTTTATGCATGGCAGAAGCACCAGGGTTTAGGGATAAACACGCGAGGTCCTCATCTCCCCAAACTGACTTTGCTTGATCCTGTTGAAAACAAAATTTCACACCAATATGTTTGCAAATTAGCATAAAAAAAAAATTGTAAATGGTATTTCAGCATAAATTAATTCATTTCATCGACTTGAAAAACTTAAATACTACATGTCTTTGGGATGGTCCAAAGGAAACTTCATAAAACATAAAGCCTATTCTTGTTCGGTGGCTGTCTGTTCCAGTTCCACCCCATTATCTACCCCAAAAAAAAAAGGTGAAGCCTCTGATCCATTAGCTCTTCAGAAATATTATGTTTTTCTCTTTATGATATGTTTCAGATAAAACTCTCTATGCAGGCAGTGTCAGTTTATTGAATCTATTAAAAAAAAAGAAAAAACTCAGCCTTCAGCGAAATTCCATATTATGTTTAATTGCTGTACAGTCAGCCACATAGGCATTCTCAATCAAAGACGCAAAGTATTACGTAGCATTGTCTAAATCTCTGATCCACTCACATATCAAAAGAAAGGCACTATAATATTGTTGCACTACATGTGATCTTTTCCCATCTTGAGAAATTCTAATGCCATGATTGCAGCATTTTTCTCAGCACAAGCATAGGTATCTGATCATAAACAGTGCTAGCTTCTATCATCACTGTTTAATCAAAAGTTTAACTTTTCCATTTTCTTCCACTTTTTTAATCAACAGCTTGAACTTGAAACGGAAAACTGGACAATGCTGGATGATTAGTCTCCAATAGCCCCCCACAAGCTGGACGATGTATGTTGGACATCCCCAGCTTGGAAACAGCATGAAGGAAAGAACCAGGAGGCAATGGCTTGGTGAACATATCGGCGATTTGAGCAGCAGAAGAAATGGGAAGAAGATGCAGTAAGCCAGATTCAATTTTGCTGCGAGTAACATGGCAATCGATTTCGATATGCTTAGACCTTTCATGAAATACTGGGTTACGGGCAAGATGAATGGCAGAGTTACTGTCACAATAAACGGAAGCTGGATGTGTCCATGGAAGGCAAAGATCTTGAAATAGATATTGAACCCACTGGAGCTCACAGGAGAGATGAGCTAGAGCCCTATACTCAGCTTCAGAGGAGGAACGATTGATCGTGGTCTGTTTCTTGGAACGCCAATGCACAAGGGCTGAACCTAAGAATACGCAAATACCAGTGACAGACTTCCTGGTGTCGGGACAGGTAGCCCAATCAGCATCAGTGAAAGCCTGAACTCGAAGATCATTATTAGCGGGAAAGAAGAGACCAGAACCAGGAGCACCTTTGAGGAAGCGAAGGATGCGTTTTGCAGCAGCAAAGTGGACAGTAGTAGGACGAGCGACATATTGGCTGAGACGATGCACAGCGAAGCAAATGTCGGGCCTGGTGTTAGTCAAGTAGAGAAGACGGCCAATCAAACGACGATAAGGAGATGGATCATCGAGAACTTCTCCCTGATTGGAATGAAGTTTGACAGAGGCATCCATAGGAGTAGAGACAGGTTTACCACCCAAAAGTCCTGCATCCGAAATAATCTCAAGAGCATACTTCCTTTGATTCAACACAATTCCACGTGAAGAACGAGCAACCTCCAATCCAAGGAAGTAACGAAGATCACCCAAATCCTTAATCTTGAATTTATCATCCAGCATTTGTTTCACACGAGTGATTTCAGATAAGGCAGTCCCACATATCACAATATCATCAACGTATACCAATAAAACAGTAAAGGAGGATGATGTTTTGAGGGTGAAAAGAGAGAGATCAGCTTGTGCCTGAATGTAACCAAGCGAAATCAAAAAGGAGGAGAGCTTGGCATGCCACTGTCGACTTGCTTGCCGTAAGCCATAAAGGAACTTCTGTAATCGACAGACCTGACCAGGCTTGTCAAGATGAAGACCTGGAGGAGGCATCATATACACTTCTTCGTTAAGGTCTCCATGTAAGAAAGCGTTGTTTACATCTAATTGATGGATGAACCAGTTCTTCGAAGCTGCTACAGCAAGTAAAATGCGAATGGAAGAGATCTTTGCCACAGGGCTGAAGGTATCAAAAAAATCTACACCTTCAGTTTGGGTGAAGCCCTTAGCAACAAGACGCGCTTTGTAGCGTTCAAGGGAACCATCTGACTTGTATTTGACCTTAAAAACCCACTTGCAACCAATGGGTTGTTTGCCAAGGGGAAGATCAACCAATTTCCAAGTATGGTTCTGTTTTAAAGCCTGAAGCTCAGTAGACATTGCCTTGCACCAGAGATCAGACTTAGCAGCTTGTGAATAAGAGCTTGGTTCCACATGAGAGGAAACATTAAGACAGAAATGTGTGTATGTGGGTGAACAAGCAGTGTATGTTAAGACACTGGATAAGGGATATTTAGAAGGAGTGGAGGAAGAGGGAATCATACCTTGGCAGAGATTGATACGTTGAGTGTGAGATGGGCTACTTTGATATTGCTCTAAGTACTTTGGAGGAGCCCGAACACGAGTGGAACGACGAAGAGGAGGAGAGGAAATGCTGAGAGCTGGTGGTATGGGGTTAGGTGATGAGGCTGTGGTAGAGGATGGGTTAGGTAATGGGGCTATGGTAGGTAATGAGGTTGTGGAAGAAGAAATGGGTGAGGGTACAATATGGGGAAGGTAACTGTCAAAATCAAAAGGTGAAGTGTGTGAAGATGGTGGGTATGGTTCAGAAAGTGGTTGAACAATGGAATCAATCAAAGGTTGATTGTTGAATGGGAATATATGTTCATAAAAAATAGCATTTCGAGACAGAAAAAGCTCCCTGGATTGAACATCATATAATAAACAGCCTTTGACACCTGCTTTATGACCCAAGTACACTGCCTTTCGTGCCCTTAGTTCAAACTTTGTGCGATGGTTATGCAGAGTGGATGCAAATGCTAGGCATCCAAACACTCTCAAGTGTATTAATGAAGGAGGAGTACCATGAAGGACCTCATAAGGAGTTTTATCCTGGAGAAGAGGTGTGCAGGTACGATTGATCAAGTGAATGGCATGGGTTATGGTATGGTTCCACAGTTTGATAGGTACTTGGGACTGAAAAAGTAAGGCTCTTGCCACATTTAAAATGTGTTGATGCTTACGCTCCACTCTTCCGTTTTGCTGCGGGCACTCAACACAACTCCTTTGGTGTGTAATGCCCTTTTGAAGATAGAACTCAGTCATTAAGAATTCATTTCCGTTATCACTTCGAATTGTAGTAACAGTGGTTCGAAAGTGATTCTCAACAAATGCAATGAAATTCCTCAAATGTACTCTAGTTTCTGCTTTACTTTTCATCAAAACTATCCAAGTATACCTTGAAAAATCATCTACAATTGTTAGAAAGTATCTATGACCTTCAACAGATGGAGTAGAGTAGGGTCCCCAAATGTCTACATGAATTATATGGAAAATCTTCAATGATTTTGTCAGGCTAAGGGAAAAGGGCAATTGCTTTTGCTTTGCCAAATGGCATATATCACACGGGCTTACATGTTTAGCAGGAATAAAGGGAAACTTAGAGGACATATTTTTCATTACAAGTTCAGATATATGCCCTAGTCTTGAGTGCCATAAGACATGATCACCCTTATTCTGGTTACAAGAATTCAAAGCAGTATGTAACTTCTTGCAATACGCAGCATCCCTTCCAGTCCTCCCATCAATCACATATAGCCCATCCCTTTGCTCAGCTGTACCAATCTTCGCCTGAGTATGGAATTCCTGAATAACACAAGTTGAACCACGAAATATCAATTCACAAGGGATGGTACTCAAAAGCTTTGTGACAGAAATCAAGTTCACCTTAAATTCTGGTACATAAAGGACATTAAACAGAATCATTTTTGGGGATATATGGACAGTTCCTGAGAACTTAGCAGTGACACAATGACCATTGGGCAGGTTAATCATGACAGGCTTAATTTTGTGAATATGAGAGATCTGTGAATAAAGGTAAGTAACATGATCAGTGGCACCTGTGTCGAGTATCCACTTGCCATGTATGATACCTGGTTGTGAAACTTGGTCAGTATTCACATTTGAAACTTGTGTAAAATTAGCTGCATGCGTGGTTGACAGAGCAGTGTTCTTATCCAAGATATTAAGGAGGTGTTGAAATTGATCGTTGGACAAAGACACACCAGAATTGCTGGCTCTATCAGGTTGCTCATATCGTGTATCTTGCATAGCATTGTTCACATTATGAGTAACAGTGCTCCTTGGTTTGTAAGTCAGTGGAAATCCATGAATATGGAAACAAGTATCCACCGTGTGGTTAGTCCTACCACAATGTGTGCACATTTTATTTCCTTGAGTGCGTCCTCCATTATAGTTATTAAATGTAGTTCTTCCTCTTCCTCTAAAGCCACGTCCACCATAGTTATTACTCTGTCCAGGTCCACCATAGTTACTTGATGAACCTCGAAATGAGTTTTGCTCAGTAACAACAGCAAAGGTTTGAGCATTCGTGGATCTATTTTCTCTCTGAAATTGACGTTCTTGCTGTACTACCATAGAAAAGACTTGATTAGCATCTGGAAGAGGAGTAATGAGCATGATCTGAGACCTAACTTGAGAGTATTGATCGTTCAAGCCTTTCAAGAAACGAATTACTTGATCTTTATCTCGATATTCCTTCATCTTATCATATCCTCCACAACAGCAACGAATTCTACACAATTACACGTTGGAAGTGGCTTGAGATTCTCAAGTTCATCCCATAAGGTCTTTAACTCAGTAAAAAACTCTGTAACATTCTTATCTCCTTGCTGTAATCTATAAAATTCTTCTTGAAGATCAGATACACGAAACAAATCTGATCTGGAAAATCTCTTTCTCAGATCTGACCAAATATCACTTGCTCTTTCTATCCAAATCACAGATTGAACAATAGGTTGAGATATGGATTTATGGATCCAAGCACTCACCATATTGTTGCATCTCTGCCATGCAAAGAAATTCTGATCGGTTTCCGAAGGTGGAGTTATGCTACCATCGACGAATCCGAGTTTGTTCTTCGAAATGAGAGCTACGGTCATAGCCCGAGCCCATGTATGGTAGTTACCATTACTCAGCAATGGAGTAACTAAGACAGTTGATGGAGATTCATTCGGATGCAAGAAAAACGGATTAGAAGGATTAGTATGAAAATCTGGAAGGGAACTTTGGTGGATTGCAGGTTGTTGATTCACTGTTGCTTCATTATTCACTGGCGATTGATCATCAACGAATGGAGCTTGATCAGCCATGGATACGAAGCATTAAAGAAAAAAAAAATTATCTCTCCTGTGATACCAGAGCTCCAATTTAGAGCTCTGATACCATACTGAATTTCCTCATATATTGATAAAACGAAAACTGAACATTACAACTTTCTCAAGACGTACTTATACTCATAACTACAAAACTGAAACTGACTTAACCACGGTTATGCAGTTAGCTCTGACTTAACCATACACGGTTATGCAGTTAGATCAAAGAAAAACTGTTAACTCAATCTGTAACTGAATTCGATGACGTGGCAACCAAGGAAGCACGGACACTTGTAAAAACAGGAAGAGTCGGGTCCGACACGCTCCGACACGGTGTCGGACACGCGGTTGACTTTTTCCGACACGTTGACCATTCCGACACGCGAATTTGACCGTGTCCGACACGGTCAAATGGCATTTTCGTAATTTTTTTTTATTTTTTATTTTTTATTTTTTTTTAAAATTTTTTTTTAATTTTTTTTTTAATTTTTTTTTTTAATTTTTTTTAAAAGTTAAAATATATTAATAAAGCTTCCACCTGATCAATTTTTTCTTTTTTTCTTTTTTCCCCTTAAGTAGATAAGAGATCATCTCAGCATCATTGTTGTCAATTCCTATCACGCTCTTGTTGTATCTTCTTCTCTCTGATCTCTCTCTAATATGATTTGATCTCTCTATCTGATATTATATCTCTCTCTCATCCCAATTCTTATTTTTTTTATTAAAGCTTCCATCTTTATAACGTGTTGATGGGTATTATTAATTTAGTTTCATTTTTTTTGTTAAATTATTAAATATTAAATGAAATATACACTATATAAATTAAAAATATTATTTAATATTAAAACGTGTCCCAACGTGTCGAAATCCATAAATTTTTAGGATTGACGTGTCGGAGTGTCGTGTCGTGTCGTGTCACGTGTCGCGTGTCGTATCGGTGCTACATAACTGGCAACTGGTGCAGCTGGATGATTAGTCTCCAATAAAAGTATCATTTCAACTTAATGGTGTAGGTTTGACTATTAGACCCAACCTATATCCTACAGTTAAGCAACTCCTGTTTTAAAATTAATTTTACGAATTTCAAAACTTTGGTCAGCTTTTTTCAATTAGTTTTAAAAGTTTATAGAGAGAGAGAGAGAAACGATAGGTCCATTTGTTTAATAATGTTTTTTTTTTCTCTTTGGCACACATCACATGTGGCCGTACTAGTAGGATAAAGAGGATATTGTACTTGCATTTGGTTAAAGTGGAGACACCTCTAACTTACATTTGTAAGAGGACTAGAACATCTGAATATACTGCATAATAAGATTTTATCCGGCCTTCGCGCATAACAATTGATAACCCTAAGTTTCCATGCTTTTGACAATCATGGAGTAGATAATTTTGTGCTGCTCAACTAGAGTCATATTATGAAAATTTACAACTTCTAACTGAAGAAAAGGAAGAAGAAAGCCACCCAAAAGTTACCTGAAGGCGCCTAAACATTGCTGCTGAATTACTCCACGTCCCATCAATCAAAATAAAATGCACAGTTGAGTCTACTTTTAACTGCTTCATTTTCAACCAAATGGAAAACAAGGAAATCTATATCAAAATGTTAAAAGCAACACAATATATGTTTTTTATTTTTCAAGTGGCATTGCCTTTGTTAGAGAATAATATAAACCACTAAAAAAGCCCTCACCCAACACCTTAAGGTTTTGGGTTGAAGTGGTTCTTTACATGATATCAGAGCTTCAGTGACCACAAGGTCACGAGTTCGATCTTCACCGCCCCCCACTTGTGGAATTAAATAAGCATAAGGTAAATAAAAAATTGGGCCTATGCAATAATCCACGCTTCAAGCCCAAAGTGCTCTTGCGTGAGGAGGTGTGTTAGAGAATAATATAAACCACTAAAAAAGCCCTCACCCAACACCTTAAGGTTTAGGGTTAAACTGGTTCTTTATAGCCTTAACATAGAAGAAAAAAGATATTCTCTTTATAGTGAAAGGCCACTTGTAAGTTGTCACTGCAATGCCAATAAATCTATTCAAATTTGTAACTTTCCTCACACCTCCTGGCAATGTCATTCAGAGATTATTAATTGGCTGGAGATTCTGTTTTAAGTTTTCATAGTCACTGATCAAGTGGTAAATCCCAAAACAAGAAGTTGAAAATCATATTTTATAACTTCTCTAAAGTAGTTAACATTTTTGCATAAAACTGCAACAAGCAAAACACAAGATGCAGCTAGGATGCTAGCAGTCAGAGTTCATTTCTTCTCATTTGCATGAACTCAACATTATACTGCATAGGTCAAACCACATTCAAAATGGGCGTGAATTAGCATTAAATACACAAAAAAGAAAAGCAATTAAGATCAGACTAAAATCGTGTATATTGCTTCAAGGTGCATTCACACACCCAACTCTCCAAGACAGACATAATCACTAGTATTATTTGTAAATCAGCAATTAAAAAAGCATTAATTAGTCTAATGTTAAAATAATACCTTTAATTACTTCAACAATTAATTACTTCAACAAGCTGTTTAATGGGGATGGAGATACAAGCGAGGTGGACTTAGAGGACGCGTATGATGATATGAATAGAAGATTTGTACGCAGAATTAATACACATGAAGTTAAGGAGGCTTTAAAGAGGATGAAGACTAATAAAGCCTTGGGGCCTGATGGTGTCTCTATTGAAGTGTGGAGAGACCTGGGGGATGTGGCAATAAAATGGTTGACCAATCTTTTTAATAAGATTCTCCAGACGAATAAGATGCCTGATGCATGGAGAAAAAGTATGATTGTGCCTATCTACAAAAACAAGGGAGATATACAGAATTGTTCAAACTATAGAGGCATTAAGCTAATGAGCCATACTATGAAGTTGTGGGAGAGGGTTATTGAGCATCGCTTGAGGAGAGATACCAAGGTTTCTGTAAATCAATTTGGATTTATGCCAGGAAGATGTACCATGGAAGCCATTTTCTTGATGCGACAACTAATGGAAAGATATCGAGAAAAGAAGAAGGACTTGCATATGGTGTTCATAGACCTTGAGAAAGCATACGATAGGGTTCCAAGGAAAGCTTTATGGTGGGTTCTGGAGAAGAAAAAGGTTCCATAAAAGTATGTAAAGGCAATCAAGGATATGTATGATGGGGCTACTACATGTGTAAAAGCTTATAACGGATTATCAAGTTATTTTCCTATCACGGTAGGTGTACACCAAGGGTCGGCTCTAAGTCCTTACCTCTTAGCCTTAGTTATGGATGAACTAACAAAAGATATTCAAGAGGATGTGCCATGGTGTATGCTTTTTGCAGACGATATTGTGCTTATTGATGAGAGCGAGGAGGGTGTTAATAGAAAACTTGAATTGTGGAGAAGCACATTGGAATCCAAAGGATTCACATTAAGTCGAAGCAAGACTGAGTATCTAAAGTGTGAGTTTTTTCTGGTACGAGATGGGGACCAAGAGCCCGTGCATCTAAATGGTCAAGAGGTAACCAAAAAAGATGCTTTTAAATACTTGGGCTCCATTTTACAAAAAGGTGGAGAGATTGATGAGGATGTAAATCACAGAATCAGAGCAGGGTGGATGAAATGGCACAGTGCATCTGCATTTTTGTGTGACCGCAAAATCCCCCTGAAGTTAAAAGGAAAATTCTATAAAACGGCAGTAAGATCGGCAATGCTATATGGAGCGGAATGCTGGCCAGCACATAGGCAACATGAGCATAAGATGGAAGTAGCAGAGATGAGGATGTTAAGGTGGATGTGTGGTTACACAAGGATGGATAAGATAAGAAATGAAGATATTCGACGAAAGGTCGGAGTAGTACCGGTAGCCGAGAAGATGAGAGAACATAGATTGAGGTGGTTTGGGCACGTGATGAGAAGACCCATGGATGCTCCTGTGAGAACAGAAGTTTGTTACCAAGAGCTAAACACAAAAAGAGGCAGAGGTAGGCCGAAGCTTACTTGGGGGAAGGTAGTAAAACAAGATTTAATGTAGTGGGATATAGATTGGCGGACAGTATGTCTTAGAACGAAATGGAGAAAAGCTATAAGTATGGTGGAGGGTTAGACCCGCTGTTATTCCTATATTCCAGATGGTCCCTTTTTAGTCATTTTCCCCTTCATTTCCCCCACTTCTTCTTGTCCCTTTCTTTTTTACTTTTATTTATTTATATATACATATATTTTTATTTTTTTATTTTTTTTATTTTATTTTATTTTTTTTTATTTTTTTATTTTATTTGTTTATTTTTTTTTTTTTTTTTTTTTTTTTTTATTTTTTGCTTTTTTTACTTTTTTTCAACCGTTTTGTATCTTTCATGTGGGTTCATCTACCACCGACCCCAATTAATTTGGGATAAAGGTGTTGTTGATGTTGATGTTGTTGATGTTAAAATAATACCTTTGCTGGGGTGACTTCATAGTTTGCAACTGGTTCCTGACCAAATGCATCTTGAACTGATTTTAAAACTGCACCCTTGTTGGGATAAAGACACCACACCTTACTTTTTCCTGAAATAAGGTAAATCCACAGCCAAAGCAATTGAATGTGAAATAAGCATGAGGTTCAGACATTAAAAGACATAGAACACTTAGATCCAACATAACAATGAAGAACTACTAAGTTAAATCATACAACAGTATCAAAATTGATACCAGGAATCCAATTCAAACATATTATCATAATAAGAAGCTATTTGAAATGAAGGATTATAACCATCTATCCCTGTCCATATTTGATAGACAACATTATATTACTTTGAGTAATTTTAAGCAGCAAGAGTTAGTGAAAACAAACTCCCCAATAACCATCAGACAGCAAAAATCGTAGATGCCAGAATATGAATTCCAAGGTCGAAATCTGACTATATCAATAAAACCAGCAACCATAGTCACTGCCAACTTATAAAAATTAAAAGACCTGCCAATTTAAAGGAATTCCACATGATTTCTTCATGTTCAGGAATGCCAAAAAGGCACAAAGTTGCCACATCAACACCAAAGACTTGCCACAAAAGCTTTCCAGTGTTGTTCTGTCGTAAGAAATCCTGCAAGAGATAACTAAAAAGTAAATGTTTTTAATGAGAAATGGACACAAAACACACCAGATATAGGACCGTAACAAAATGCCAAGTTATATCCAAACCTTGGGATGCATATACAACCAAAACCTTAATCCGGGGCAGAGCAAGCAAGATGTAACTTTTGAACACATACAATCCTCCACAGGAAGCCAGCACTACAAAAATAAATAAATAAATAAAAAATGAACGCAAGATTAAAAGGCAAAATGAAACCACTTGAAATGAAACCTTCTGACAAAGGTAACCCCTGCTTCCAAGTATGCGACAAGCTATCTGTCTAGCTGCATAAAATTGGAGCTTTTTCTCTGAATCACCTAATGCCTGATAGGTTGCGCGATGTTTCTTATCTTCTTGTGTTTTGAGATTCCCCTTTAAATCCAAAAACTCAACAGGGTCAAAATGTCTTTACAGCATGAATACGAATAGATGAAAGCTTAGAACTTCACCTGTAGTTTTCCACCATTGCCACCAAAGCTCATCTGGGCATCAAAGTCTTTCTCTAGAACCTTTAAATCCTCAACGATTTGAGTAACCAATGTTGGGATTGGGGAAGTGGTGCCCCAACCTTGCCATTCCTGTAAGGACACAACCCCTTCACCAGCGTCCCCCATGTCCACGTCACAAGCAGAATGAGAACGCTGTGTGAGTGTGAGTGTGTGGGTTTTGTTCCAGAATGGGACACGACATTTGACTAGGAAGGCCCGTGTCCAAGGAGCTGATAACAGCACCATGGTCATTTTGTGTTGTTTTTTTCTCTTCACTTCTTTAAGGATGTTTTATTCCTTGTTTGCCTCTAATCTGCAATTCCAGTGTGGGCCCATGTCCACAACTATCCAAAATGGCCCAATTTTGTGAGTATGGCCCATATAAAAACAACTGTTCTCATAACTTCATTTTTGTGGGGGTCCAATTCGGTTCGAATACCATTATACTCATATTAGGGTGGTTCACTTAACATTTATTTTCGGTATTTGAAATGTTGAATTCAAGATTTTATCACTTGAATTAATATTATATGGAAATATGAAGGATGGAACTCCTATCATATAATCATAGTCTCTTAATATTATTCTTAACTCTTTCTTTTTGCAGTTACTCAACCCTAATTATCTCTTTGAGACGAGTTGGTTCCCTCCGGTATCCCCACGAGCTTCGACTCTTTGAGCCGGCTATGAGACTAATCCGGAGTGCGGGGGAACAGTGATGGCTAAAGGTTCGGCCCCCTCCCCAAGAATGCATTCAGCAGGAATCGAACACATATCCAACCCCACTAACTCAGCGCCAAGTTACCAACTGAGCTGCACCCGTTGGGTTTATTCTTAACTCTTTCTAGTTTGAGAAGGATTGATTTAAGTGATAAATAATTTATTTCTTGTAATTAAAAATTCAGACTAGTTGAATTTCGGATTAATTAATTAGGAAATCAAAACATATCAAGTGAGAAAAATAATTTATTATAGAATATGAAGAGGAAAAAAAGGGTAAATCTTGACCTTTAAATCAATCATATGTATGGAAGTTAAGTTCAATTTATTTAATAAATCACATAATTACAAAAAGAGCTTTTCACGGGAATTGATCTTCTCATGTGTTAATTAATATGATCAAAAAATTCTAATCATTCATAAGTATATTAGCGGGGATGATTGTGTCACTCCCTATTTTAATATTTTTTCTTTCTTATTCTCCATCACATGATCCTCCCACATAACATGATTATTCTGGCCAGCCCAATTGGTTAGCCCAATATCAAGGATCCTAGCCACCTCAGCCCTACCAACCATGTTGCACCAACCTTGTTGTGCCAGCACTCACTTTTTGCAATGCTATCAGACATTTCAACGTAAGACATCGAAATGTTTTGAGGGGAGACCCCCTCCTCCCCTTTTGCATCCTCAGGCACCAAAATATTTTATTGGGAACTCTCCCTTCTCATCCTCCTTCTGCACAACAGTTGTTGTCAGCATTGCAGTAGCTGCAAAGTGACTTGCCCCTACAAGGTCAAGTACTTTGGCTCTTTCCTATAACAGTTAACTTGGTTCTCTCCCCTACTGGATTGGAACCTATAAATACCCTCATCTTCACTACCTTAACACACATAATATCACTATTAGTACGAGTCATTACTTTGTTGCCTTTGAGAGCTATTGTAATCATTCTACACTACCTCCATTGTCATACACACCACTTATGACCTCTTTGCATAATCTTGGTCGATACTACACGCAACGCTCTTAATTAGTCAACGGTCCAATGAACATATTAAAAAGAGTAAAGTACCTTTTAAGTCTTCGACAAAAATCATGTGGCCAATTTAATCTTTTAGAAAAAAAATTGACTTATGATCCCTTTAAAATTTAAAATAGACTCATGTTAGTACTTTAAGAGACTAACATGAGTCTTATTTGAATTTCAGATGAATCACAATTTTCACTAATTAAGTTCATTTTAAATTCAAAAGAGACTACAAGTCAAAAAAAATTTCCCAAAATTTAAATTGAATCACATAATATTTTTATTGAGTACCAACAAATACATGCATGTATTTTGTTAGTGGGGAGGATGTTTAGGTTTGGAATGGAATAGAATCAGACGCTGAATTTGACAGAAGGCCGGAGGAATATAAGTCTAACTGTTTAAAAACATTTGAATAGTCAAATTCGTCTGAACGCTGAGTCACCACCAAATTCAAAAAACTAATTATTTAAAAATAATGTTTTTTAACTACGAAAAGTTTTTTTCTTTTTAAGAAAAACTATTATAAACACTTAATAATAAAGTGTTGTTAAAAAAATAAAATTAAGTCAAACTAAAACCATAATAATTTTTTTAACAAATAAAGGATAGGCCACACATATGAGATATGACATTAAAAATGAAAAAGTAGGTAAAATAAATGCAATTAAATAAATAAAAGTATTTTTAATTTAAGTTAAATGAGTATGTTTTACAAGAATACTGAAAATTTACGTAATGCTGAATTGAAATGCCAATTTAAGAGAATCCTGAATTGAAATGCCAATTTATTATATTATATTATTCCCATGCGAAGCACGAGGTCCTTCGAACATTGGCTTGAATTTTTCTACAAAATAATAAATGGACATTTTCTTCTAAACGTCGCATCAAATTAAATATTGTAACATCCAAACGGACCTGTTGCTAATTACTAAAGGCTAGCTGACAAATAGAATTAAGTATAAATCTAGGTTGACTAGTTGAGGCTGCTTAGATTAAAAATTAAGAATAGTTAATAATTTTCCACATTTGTTTTCTCACAGCTACCAATAAAACACGATTTTCGATTGTCTTTGAGGCTATTTGCTAGTAGAGTTAGTGTCAGAAAATTAATATAAGAATATGTATTTAATTTTTTCAGTATTATTTATAAAAAGAGTTTAAAGTTTTAGTCTTGAAATTCATCCCAAATCAAATTAATCGTGAAATAATGAATCAATTAAAATATTTAAAAAAAAATTGTCGTTGAAGGCCGCCCATGTCATTGATTTATTCATTTTATTACGTTACGCGTCTCATGTCATATGATCTAGTTAGGCAGGCATGTTTCCCATACATTAAATGGATGCTTTTTTTTTTTTTTTTTTTTTTAACAATTAAAGTGTTTTTATATAAACTCTTACCATGTATTGAGTTGTTAAAAAAAAAGCGAAGTTGTGTTTCTAAGAAAGAAAAAAGAAAAATGTGTTCAATTTTTTTTTTTACAATCTAAAAGTATCTCATTCAATCTTTTTTGGCCACCTTGTACTCAAAATATCACCTCAAAGCCTACTTTCTCATCAGAATAGCGGACACATTTGATTATGTCATCGAAAAAATGATGAGATTAATTTTCATCCAAGGGTTTCCTCAAACCCCATTGAGGGCTAAAGTCACATATAACTTCCGAATGTGTGTAAGCATGTTTTATTTTTCTTAACACTTGCTAGAATTATCACCTATTGATAAGTCCATGAAATAATACTTACAATGTATGGTTTTTAATATGAAAATGTAAAAAAAGAATACACTTTGTGTTAATAGATACCCCAAATTGCATTAAGATGAATGATTCTGATTTAAGTGCTAATGGGTTTTTATTTGCATTCTTCAGGCCCACTTGTGATACAGCCCAAGGAAAGAAAGAAAAGTAAAGGAAAGAGAAAGGAAATAATAGAAAAAAGAGAGCAAAAGAAACAGATTGGGCCACTCTTTTACAAGGCAAGTCAGAGGCCCAAATTGAAGAAAAGGAAGAGGTTGAAAGAAAAGCAAGCAGCCTTGTCACAAATCAGCAGCGTAAAAAAAGAAAGAAAAACTGAGACTTGCAAACCCTAACGCCTTTTCTCTCTGACCGAGCCCTAACCCTCATGCAACCCATCTCCATCGTTTGCACCCTTTCTACCCGATTGACACACTAAACCGCACAATTTCGCAAACAACCAGAACCTAGCCACTATCTTGAGTTAGAAAAAGGACAAAGGAAAACCGTTACTGAGTGGTGAGCTGGATACTTTTCGAGAGTAAGGTTGAGCGATTTTTGGGCACAAGTTTACGTACGGGGTGAAGGAGCAACAATTCATTTAGATTGTCTGAGGAGGGAGCTGTTGGGGACCACCGGTGTGTAACGCGCAAGGAGCGCGTGTATACCTGCTGAGCTGGAGAGGAAAATCGCGCAAAGAAGGAAAGGAACCCTATAAAAAGGGAAAGAGGAGTGAGTCAAAAGGGCCCCTTCTTCCCACTCCTGATTTCTGATTTATCGTTTTTCTTAGTTTTTGTTTTCTGAATAAATTTTATTTTCTTTTAATTTCTGTTTTGTAATGAGATTCTGGTTCATTTGATGAACTTGATGCATGTCTTTACAGCACTGAGATTGCCGGTTGTTAGGCCAGTGCTGTAATTTTAGTTTTTAGAATTTTTATTTTGTGATTTCTGTAGTTCTCTGTTACTGTGTGTAAGCCTCATCCATATGGATAGTGGCTAACTTTTTAGAGGTTGGGTTAGGGTGATACCCAAACCTCAGTGCTTGTCAAATATTTGATTTCCTGGTTTTAATGTTTATATCTCAGTTGTTTAATGCTTTTTTTTCTAATATTTAAAATTATCTGCATTTTGGCTAAATGTCAGAGGTTTGGTTAGGATTTAGTTGTTGAGAAACAACTAATTCTGGATTCTGCATTAGACACATGGACTTAGATGAGAAATCATCTAAGGGATCTCAATTCAGAAATGAATGAGTCTTCATGTAATATTGGACCTGAATCTCAAGAGTCCTAATCCCACTTGGCATAGTGATATGGAAGTGGGCAACTTTGGGATAAAATAATTTTTAAGAGATTAAAAATTAACAATACAGTCCTGTTAACTGAGTATCTTAGAATGAGCTTTTTGTTAATCAAATTATTTTTCAAGCACTGTGGGGAAGGAGAACCAAAACTCAACCCACCTTTTTAAACCTCTTTATCAATTCAGATTTTCCAATTTCTTTTGTTATTTCATATTTCAATCTCTATCCTGTTTTCAAAATTTTTGTCACATCTTTCATTTAAGTTGCTCCATTCTTCATTCGTATTTTATAACTTAGGAAAGTAATTCAGAAAATTTTAAAAGAAAAATGAACAGTAGTGTTTTAGGTCCATTTTAGAATATTTTTTACTTTACAATTTTATTTCTTCTATTTTCAAATAGTAACTCAGTTTTAAGCAATTACAAATTTT